ATGTATATAAATGAAACCCGTATCACACTGAAGCTAGGGTCCTGTGTTCTGTCTTTATTATTTAACATGGTATCATGAGCATTTTCCTGTGCAATTGTATACCCCAAAACATAATTTTATACATGGGTATACATATTATAGTCCACCATGTGGATGACCAGAAATTTTTAAATCATCCCTTAAATGGACATTTAGTCTAACTTTTTATTATTGTAATTAAAAATTAGAAAAATATACTTATATAAAACTTTGTGTGCATCCCTGATTATTTCATTAGGATGGATCCTAGGAAGAGAGATTATAAATCCATAGAGTTTCAGACACTTAAACATTTTATTGCATATTAATCACATTTAAGAAAGGAAGTATCTACTTATACACAGCCCCCCCAACATTCATGCACCCACAAATCGGAAGGTCCTTATAGCTCATCACACTCTCACCAGCAACAAACATTGCTTGAAAAACTTCAATAATCTGATAAATGAATGGGGGCATTTGGGGTTAATTTTCATTTCTTTGATTACAGGTGAGGATGACCTTTTTTCCCCCATATTTTTAATGGAGTATTTATCTCCTTCTTTTATTTTCAGTTTGTGTTCCAGGCAAATTTTAAAAAGGAAAAAAGTTCTGGTTAATTTGCTGAGTTTATTAATATTTCATTTCCTTTCACTGTCTTGGGAAGCCTTATAACTATAAATATGACACTAAGAAATATTTTTGTGTTTATAAATGGAAAGGGAGGAGAAAATGGTGCCTGTGAAATGCCATTCATTTGCTAGTCTCCACCCCTGGTGACGAGAATATCCAGAGTTGATGAGAATATCCAGAATTGAAATAATACCACCTAAACCTGTACCTAATACCTAATACCCCTGAACTGTAACATCCACAGGGAGAGTGTCGCCGGGGTCTCATTTGTCCTCACGTGCTTCAGAGCGGAGCCCAGTATTGCCTGGCACGTCCGGTGCAGAGCGAGTGCCTTGATGAGCCTAAGTTGGGGTGAGTGCGCAACGCCTGCGCTCTGGGGTGGAGAGTTGCTAGACGTTTCCCTCCCGGCCTCATTCCTCTCGGCTGCCTCCTCTTCTCAGTGTGTGGCCATTTATCTCTGCTCGCTTGGGTGGCCTCTGTATGGGTGCCAGTGAGGCCAAGGTCAGAGGTTCTATCTCCGTGTGACCTATTTAGCTTTGTTCTGTGTCGTGGCCACAAACGGTACTCTTCTTCCTGTGGCCAGCTGACTCAGATGCGTGCTGCCCATCCCAGGGAAGAACAGGCTATCGAGATGAGGCCGATTTCTAGGGCTAGAAAGACCCTGATGAAGTTCAACCTCCTCATTTTACTCTAGCGGAAGAAGACCGAGACCCAGAGGGTTCCTCCTTTTCTCCTGTGCAGTGTCCCCGGCTCCATTCGACATGCAGATACATACCAGGCAACGTGGAGAAACAGACACTCATCCCAACAGTGAGGGAAGGTCCATGCTTAGATGCTGATGGACTGTTCACAACTTTCTAATTTCATAATCCCCGCTACTTGAATATAAATGATACAGCCAATATTTAAAGAACTTAAAAATTTGCCACACAATAAGGTTGCTGTGAGTGGTCTCATTCAGAGTCTTCAGAAGGGACAAATAATCTTTGGGGGAAATCCATTCGATGATGATTTTGAAGAAAGAAAATTCTATGGGAATAGGTTGGTTAAATCAAAATCAAATTGGCTGTCATCTTCTCGAACTTATAATTATTTCCAATTTCTGTCCTTCTGTTAGTGGAGTGATCGTTATCCTAGTCACCAAGCCTAAAATCCATTGTACTTTTCCCATAAAAATTACTCTTATTACTCCTTTTCCCCTCTGCCAGCACCCTGCGTGTTATAATGGGAGGGACTTGTCACCGCGTGTCCCCATCTGTGCTTGCTCTAACCACTGCAGTCCTCTGCTTTCCTGCCAGATCTCCCTTGCCCAGACCCATTTGTGGTTTCCACTGTCTACTCCAATAAAGTCCAAATTATATTAATGTCGCAGATAAGAGTGGCTGTTTCTGTTTAGATCATTTTTTTCTTTTAGAATTGAGGGTTTTTTTTTCTTTTTTTTATGAAGTTGCTCTTCTCCCATTTATCAAAGATGTTGTTTGTCTGCTGTTTGGTTTCACACAGCAGCTTTAACGATAGCTCTGTGTTCCTTAAGAGCCTGAAATCCAAAATGATGGAAGAGCTCTCTGAAGGTCACAAAGCAATTGAAGGGTGTTTTCACAAACAAATCACGTTACTGAGTATTTAAAAATTAACACTAGTGTTGCCCTCAAGGCATCTCACTCGAGTAAGGCATCAACCTGTGTGTGTGTGTGTGTGTGTAAAGAGTCATCGAGAAGAGCCATCCCAATCCTAGAGAATATAGGAAATTTTTTTCCTTTTAAATATATGCTTTTAAATTTTCAGGCCACCATGTCTTCTGTCTTTTCTTATTTATGCATTATTTGGTAAATCAGGAAACTGTTGTTGATGTTAAGGAAGGGAATATAGATGTGTGAACCTAAAATAGTAGCATGGACCTTGGAGCTAGACAGACCAGGTTCAGACCTTGGGTCTCTACTGCAACTGGGTGACCTGGACTCTCAGTCTCAGTTTTCTTGTCGTGCAACAGAGGTTTTCCTCTGTACATCAGGAAGTTTACTGGAGTATACAATGAAATGTGAAGTGTGCCAAGCAACAGCTAGCACAGCATGTGGCACGTTGCAAATGTTCGTGGATGGTCGATGATACCTTTCACGTGTGCTGCGATTCTGAGCCGACAGTGCAGGTTTTCCCTTGTGATGTCCACGCAAACTCACAGCTCTGTTGGACCAATCTACCTAGCCCTAGCAGGAAAAGGACCCACATGTATGTTTTGCAAGGATTATTTCTTCTCTACCACTCTGACAAATGGATCGCGGCACAGCCAGCTGTGTGCTGGACGCTGGCCTGTTCCTCGGAGTGTTGGATGACCAGTGGGAGTGCACGTGCAATTTGCTTTTCTTTTCGAGAGACTGACAAGAGTAGGAGAGAGAAACTGAATGTCATAAGACCTAGACCCTAACTTTAACTGTAGTTCTGACCGAACGTGTGACGTTGAACCAGTGAGCCTTGGGACTCTAATCTAGGATACTGTGATTCAGTTGCTAAATCATTTCTTTACTCCTGGGATAATTATACTGACAAAGTCTATTTTAAATGCCAGTTCCCCCTCACATGTACACATGCGGTTTGTCTAGCGAATTCCCAATCGTTCTTCAAAACCAAGCTCACGTGCTCCTTTCTCTCATCGGTGCATTCATTCAGCAAGAATTTATTGAGCGCATACTATGTGTTAGATGCTGGGGATGCAGCACTGAGCAAAACAAAAACCCTGCCCTCACGTTGACTCTGTGTTCCTGTAGCCCTGTGTTTGCAGCGGGATCTCTTTGCTCTGTAGTCCCTGGGCCAGTGTCTTGCTCAGTTGAATCAAAGAACAAACGCTAGCTTCTCTGGTCCTTCCTTTTGGGCTTAAGTGAATGACCCAAGTCATACAACTCCCTGAAAGACATTCGGTGGGAAGGTCAGGAGTGGTGGAGTTGCTGTGGAGATTTTTCTATTAGTATAGGAGCTGCCAGGACTGGTCAGCCTTCCGGAAAATGTAGGGACATCATGGAAAATTATAGACCTCCCAAGTCCGATACCCTCCGTGCTGACACCCGAGACTTTCCTGCTGCTGTAGTCCAGCAGGTGGTGAAGAGAGGGGGCACACAAGCAGACCCCTGTGTGATGGCCCGAGTGAGAATTCCCAGCGACAGGAAGCACACGCACCTTCCTTTCACCTGCGCACGGGCCAGCAGGCATTTCCTGGCCATTGTTCGTGGAGGCCGCAGCGGCTCTGTTTCCGTCCACCAGCCAAGCGGAGCTGGAGCTGGCCGAGCTCTCTTATGGGGCCGGCTTTGTGTGCAGCTCACACAGGCTGCCGTCAGAACCAGCCCCCGCGGGGGCAGTGGCGGATCCATGTACCCACGGCTGTCTTACGCCCTGTCGGCAGGAGGAAGACCTAGGGGAGAAGATTCTCCTGCAGAGAAACCAACATGGCAGCTCTACTTGGTCTGCTCCTACATGGGTTTCCGTCCATTTTATTCTGCTTTGTTGGCACCCTTAACTTTGGGCAGTTTACGCTGAGGAAGTTGCTGGTGCGGGTGACGGTCCCCAGGCAGGATTAGGGCGTGGCCACCCTCGGCTGAGAAATGCAGAGCTTTTCCCCAAGATGCACTGGAAAGAAATTCCGCTGATAGAAGTTTTGTGAGGAAAGGACTTTGGGATTGTGGGGTGGGTTGGACGTGTGTGTGCTCATTGGCCTGTTCGTTTTCTCGTTATGAGCCGAAAGAACGTCAGATCTGTTTTCAGCTGCTAGTCAGCTGCCGGGTGGCTGCCCTTGCCTTTGCCATCAGAGCGTTTCCGCCGCAGTGTGTCCCGGCTGCGCGTTGATTAAAGGGCCCACTCCACCCAGCTGGAGCGAAGGTATGTCTGCAAGACGAGAGCAGGGAGTATAATAAGATTAAGCTGCACGTTGGTGGTTTCTCTTTTTAGAAACACAAAGCAGCAGTTGCAGCTTCCACGTCTGTATTTATTTGGTCCTCACTCCTTTCTGCCTGCTGTTTTTAGGTGAGTGGGACAGTGTTAATCACTTCACTGTGTAAACACTGTTCCAGACCCTTCTGCGAGAGGCAGTCGTCAGAGGGTGCCATCCTCAGAGCTGCCTCCACGTCCTGCAGGGCCAGGGCTGCGTCCGCCCTCAGTCTGAATAACGTGGAGAAGAACTCCAGGCGGAGCACTGAGCAGGGGTGTTGCTGCGTCCGCGGCCATGGTCTGGTTGGGTGGCGCACGGGGAGGAGGAGGTGTCAGGCTGAGCTCCGGGGAGACTTAGGCACAAACAGAGCTCTCTGTTGTCCCCGCAGTGCTGGGTCCCGCCACCACGATGGTTCCAGCGGTTGAGCTTTGACGACGCCAGGGCACCATGTACAGCGTGGAAGACCTCCTCATCTCTCATGGATACAAACCGTCAAGAGACCTCCCAGCACCGCGCGAGGACGACCCTGAGGGACGCCAGCCAGCGAGGACAAGGACGCGAGCTGGCCACGGCCTGCTGAACGGGCACGAGGATGGCCCTGCAGTCTCTGCACATCGTCAGCCGTCTGCGGGGAAAGGACGCGTGAGTGACACTGAAAGCCGCCGCAGCACGCCGAGAGGCCACGGGGAGCCCCCAGGAGCTTCTAGAACCTCTGAGGCCGGGTAAGCTTCGCTGGTAACCTACCGATTTCTTTTGACATGGGAATTTGGCAGTGGGTTACGTGTAAGTAACCCTCCTCATGTTTGACAGGGGCCGGAACACTCCTTTCCACTGGGTGTCTGGGGTGCTCCAGCACCTGGCGTGGGGCCCGGCCACCACGGCCCTCAGCACGTGGCAGCACGTGCACAGATCCTGCCTGCCAAGTGCTGCGTGTCCACGGTCTGCTTCTTGTTCCCGTCCAACCTCTGTGTCTTGCCTCAGACAGGAATCGTGTGGGACTTTGCAAAAGCTTCTTCACATCCTGGCCCATTCGGCTTTCTTATTAATACATTTCAATGTTCTGTCCATTACAGAGAGTCCGAGAGGGGTCTGTATTCCCCACCTTTGTGAAGAAGGAAACCTTTCTTCTTGTGTGTTTGTATCATTCCATTGGTGTCTGACCCATCTTTCCCTTGCACACACACTAGCCCTAATGTGGGTGTCCCTTCTGAATACAGCTTCGTCTGCGGGTGTCCCTTATGACAGAAAGAGGGGCAGTTGGCTGGGGGAACAGGCTGGTGGAAAACGGGACTTCCGGCGGCTTGCCGCAGAGCCAGCCCGGGAGAGGAGCCCGAGACCCTCCTCCAAGCAGCCTGAACCTAGAGCGAACCTTTGTCATGACTTCATGACACTGTGTGTGTCTCATGCTGCGCTGGGGCCAGGCACAGGTCGGGGAAGGAGCGTGCGGAGGAGGTAGAGCGTGTTTCCTGACTGCACGTCACCCTCCAGAGAGGGCAGAGTGGCCCGGGGAAGCAAGGGCCTCTCTTTAGGAGAAACAAGCAAACGAAAAGATGGCGACTTGAGTTTGATGGGAATGAACTAGGCTTCCGTGGTGAGAGGTCGACTTTTCACAGAAAGGATGTTCCTTGTCAGATGACAGTGTTCAGGCAGAGATGGCAGGGATTTTGTTTGTGTAGTCAGTGCATTTAATACCTTGCTTGCTGGGCGAAAAGCAAAGGTGAGAGCCCCTCTTCTTGCCTGGGGTGGTAAGGACAGGTTTGTGTTGCCACATCCGATCCCTGCTCTGGGGAGGGGCAAGGGAGGGTGTCCCTGAGGGAGCCGGGCAGGAGAGAAACCAGAGCGGAAAAGGACGGGATGCTGTTTTTCTTTAACCTTGCGCTGCAAACTCACGCCTGTGTCCGCAACTGGCACGGCTTAACTCTCTAATCAGCCATGGTCCCTGGAAAACACTCCCGCCACGGATTGGCGAGAGGCTGCTTGCGGGCAAGCTGGCTGAGGGTGAAGACGGCCGTGATGGCGGCGCGCAGCCTTGGGCTCCATTCTGTCTCTCCCGGCTATTTCCGGTTGTGCTGAATGTATCTGTATCTTCCAGCTTGGATTTCAGGGTACTGAGCTTGTGCCTTGTCTCCTAGTTCTTGTGTGTTTCCTAAAGAGCTTATTACAGCACTGGGCACACAGTGGGTATTTAAAGTGTGCTGATGAGTTCAGTTTTCACCCCCGGCCCCCTCCATCGTAACAGCTGTTGAAAGGCAGAGGCTCAGTTTCTAACAAGGCCCAGACCGGGCCCGGGAGTCCTACGAATGTGCTGCGTGGGTTATGTGGGGTCTCTCCGACTGGAGGGGCCAGGCCAGGGTTGAGTGCCAGAATGGGAGGCACAAGAACCCTCTTTAGAGTTCTATGTGGGCAACGTGGCGCCCAACCTCATCCGTGACTTGTGTAGAACTTTCTGGCCCCTCATGTGGTAGCAGGTTCCTAAGAGCCCCGAGGGCCGAGCGCCTGCCTCTAGGTGGGTGGGCACAGTCAGATCTGCAGGCAGCTTCCTTTCTGTCAGGAGTGCAGTGCTCAGATAAGTGGCTTTGTGTAGCTCTAGGATGTTTTCATACGCGGCAGAGTTCTCAGCAGAGCTGGCCTCTCCTCCACGTTTCTGAGATGGGCTGATGAACTTAGGAGGTGTGCCGTTGGATTGGAAGTTGGCCCGCAGGGAGGACGGAACAAATGTGTGCATGTCTGCAGACTCCGTGCCAGTGCCTCAAGCCCCGGAGACCAGCTGCAAGGCCCCTGGGTTGAAACGAAAAGACATTTTCATTCTTTAGTGGCCCATAGAGAACTGAAGATAGGAGGCGAACAGAGGTAGGCACGGAGCATTGTTTTTCCCCATTAGAAAAAGAAATGCTTTGGGAGGAAATAAATAGGCACCAATAGTCAACAGCTTAAAAGGTTTTTGTAGAAAGAGAAACCAATAATACGGTGGCTTGTGTGGGCTGATTCCAGATGAACAAATGGTGCTCTGCCAGATCCTAGCCTTTGGTCACTTGAAAGTGTAGCTGTGGCCTTGCAGCCTGTCCTGTCCCCTACCGTGACCTCTGCCAGGCTGGCTGTGGGTCCAGGGCCACACCGGGCCACCCAACTACAGCCCGTCGGGGTGACGTGGCAGAGTCCCGAGGGCTCCTCTTCTGCAGCTCCTCGGGCGGGTCGAGGTGTGCCCTGGAGTGAGTCTCCACATCATGGCCCGTCCTCCTGCCCCACACACTTCCTGGGAAAGACAGGGATCAGGGTGGCTGGGAAGGCCGAAGGGGCTTTGTTTTATTCTGGCAGGATGGTGGCGACGTGGGCGTGTCGGCGGTGTTGTTACTTATAGCCGGGGAGCGTCGTCTTAGTGCATTTCGTGCTGTGGCGACAGGACACCACAGCCTGGGTAATTCACGGTGAGCAGAGGTGTGCTGGCTCACGGTCTGGAGGCCGAGATGTCCAGTGTCGAGGGGGCGGCGTCTCGTGAGGGCCTTCTGGCTGCGTCGTCCCATGGCGGAAGGCAGGAGGGCGAGAGAGAACAAAGGGGGCCTGACCTCGCCTTACCCAGGGCACCCGTCCCCAGCCTGGTGGAGCCCTCATGGCCTGATCTCCTCCGAAAGGTCCCACCTCTCAAAACCATTGCGGTGGTATTTCAGTTTCCATGTGAGTTTTGGAGGCGACCAACATTCAAACCATAGCAAACATGAAGCCCAGAGGATGTCAGTCAGTGTGGCAGTGGAGGGAACCCAGCCCGGGTCACAAGTCCCCCGAGGCTGCCACGCCTGGTGGCTGCCGCCCCACAGCAGTGCTGGGCCTGCCTGGCCCCTCCGCGTGTGAAGGCCTGTCCAGTGTTGAAAGGGGGGCTCAGTTCTGCGAGCCGCTTTCACGGTGCCCTGTGCTGGCGGCACCTTCCCACTCCCGCGTCCTCCGCCCTCCTCCGGCACGTGTGGACGTGCGACAGCTCTCGCAGCACGGCTGCGTCCCTTCCTGTCCGGGGAGCCGTCTAAGGAATGCACCCTGGCCTGCCCACTTGAGCTAACGCACACAGTACGCTTTTCTGTGCACGTTGTCAAGAGCTGCATAGATGGAAGGTGGTGTGAGCTGTGATCTGGGGTTTGGCTAGAACATCAGGATTCTCCGGTGAGAATGTCGGGGCTTATTTTTTCCCACCTAACAAGCAGCATCAACTTAGAAGAGAGTTTCTTATTTAAGAGCTGGTTATATCTAATACAACTTCTACTTAAAAAAGGAACCCAAATACGGAGCTTTGACTGGATTTGCAAACACGCAGGACCCTTGTTTCCTAGCTTGCCGAGGAGGCTGTGCTTCGAGCTTTCAGCACCGTTGGATGGAGTAGCACTGAGCACGTGGGACAGGAAGAGAGTGGCCATTCTGTCGTGAAGAGAGCCTGTCAACAGTGAAGTGGTGGAGAAGAGCCCAGAGTCAGTTCTTGTTTGCACAGGGTTTATCCAAATTCACGCGTGGAGAGGAGTTGTTTTGGAAGCTCCGTGTTGATGTGTTAGACCATCCTTCTTACAGCCGGTAACCTGCGAGCGTTGAAAGCACAGAGGACGGGCTCTGCACCCAGGTCCTGGGACTCACTGCTCAGGGCCTTCCCTGGCCTGTCGTCTGCGTCGTCAACCCCAGCTCTTCAGCAGGCACCCAGCTGCCACACGCGGCCACCGTGTGCTCCCTGCTCTCGAAGCCCTGTCTGGAAACGCCCAGCGCCCTCGCCACCCCGTGTCAAACTGCAGAGCCCACGCCGTCAGTTCAACTTTTTTGGGTTCCTTCTATTGAAATTACTTTTTCCTATGAATTCCTCCAGCACTTTCTCCTGGCCTCCAGGATTGTCAGCTATGGTAATTTCATTTATCTCTGATGTGGCTAAATACTATTCAAGAATTTTGCATTTAAACACTATTTTTTTTTTCAAACCAGTTCACTGGATGAACCTAGCACTTACCTGCCAGGGCAGGTGGGTGAGTGCTGAGTGTTGTCGAATACTGGGCCAAAATGGGATGGGGGGAGAGGGTGCTGCCAGCGACTTGGGTGAGGCTGGTTTGGGAAGGCTCCTCTCCGGGCAGGTGACGGAGCAGTGTCGGTGGCTTCTGTCCTGACATGTGAACTCTTGGGGAATGACCAGGGAGCAGGGAGGAGAAGATAATGGTCATAGACTCGGAAAACTTCTAGTGGCTGAATAGTTCCTAGGGTAAAGTTCCTGTCCTTTCGGTTCCAGAAAGTGGAACGTGCCTGGTGGCAGAGTGGGAGGTGGTCTTTGTAAGGGTACAATGGGTAGGCACATGGGCCGGCAAGTGGAGAAAGACGCCCTGGCCTCGTAGGGTGTGGGCGTGACAAGGCTGGCAGTTGGCGTCTCCCTGGGTGGCGGGGAGAGAATGACCAGACACGGAAACCCGAGTGTCACCCGTGGCAGGGGCTGTGGTGAGGACAGTCTCCAGGCCAGGGGCTGACCACGTACCCCAAAGCATGATCTCTTCCCTCTTCACAGACCTTTCACTAAGTAACTCCAAAAACTTGGCCTTTTCCCTGCTTTTAAGGCATTTGCTTCACAGAGAGCTCAGCTAGATGCTAACCCACTCCAGCAGTCTCCGTGGACAGGCTGTGATGGTGAAACTGGCTGCAGGCTTTGCATGACGGCCACTGTCAGGGTGCAGAGGACCCCACAGGCTCATCCAGAGCTTGCTAAACACACACA